TATGTGCTTTATATACTTGAATGAAAATAAAATGAAAGTCAATTGAGGACAAAATGTTGTGTGAGACACGTGGTAAAGGTGATTTCATTTTGCACGTACACCTGCGCTACTCGGCCTATCGGCCTTAAGCGGTAACGATTCTAAGTCGTAAAATAAAATGCCAGAATCATAAATAACCATCATTAGAAATCAAATGTTCTCAAAACGTTCTGTTTGTGAATAATCATCACATTTTGCAGAATTCCATACAACTGTCCCTTTTTTGCATGCTGAATAATTAAATGAATAATTTAAACGTAAATTTCATTTCAGTGAAATGTATACGATGTTGAAGGATATTCGTATCGTAACTTACTATTATGATTCAAAATTGGTTATCAAACTCCGTCTAACGACTACGTTTGATAATTCAACTGAATCGTAAAAATATGACTTTTAATAGTTATAATTATAATATATGAATGGGTAAAACACAGAACAGTATAAGTGACACTTTATAAATTGTGAAAAAAGGGGTTTATTGTAGAATATATTTTAGTGAAAATGTATTTTCGCAGTTTTAATGAACATTTGAAATGCCTTGGTTTTTATAATGAAACAAAAAACACGACTTTACAGTAATATTGACTTAAATAGATTTCTCTGAATTTATGAAATGTCTTATTCTGAACTGTTTTTTACCCATTCATATGTAAAAAATATGTTTTAAAATTATTTTATTTTAAATGTTTTTTGAACATTTGCCAAATTACATATTTATTGAAACAATATGTGCAGAAACAGTGATTTTATAGCACTTCGTGGAATAATTTGCAACAATATATAATTTCATTATTAGTATCACACACAGTATTTATAAACTCATAAGAAGAGAAGAACATAAGTCGATTTGAATGGTTTTAATTTCGTAGCTGCGAAGGAAATAGACTGTGTAGTTATTTCCTAGACAGTACTATCAAATCAAATCTGCCGCTTAATCGCCTGATAATAATGTTGTTAATTTTATATTCATTAATATTGTTTAAATCAGGACATTTATGTAATCCTTTTTTTAAATGAATATGACTACGCCTATCATATCTATGACATAAACAATACATATTATGCCCTTCGACTCTTGTGCTATATTACGAATATTCGCGTTTAACTCTGAAAGAAAACACAATCTTCTGCAATTAAGCGTAGCTTTTTAAAAGGTTATGTTACCACTTTTAAACTACTACTTACTACTCTTAGAGATTGTTTACTTTATTAGTTAATAGCAAATTATAAAAACATATACGTCCGTCGAAGGGAGAAAAACTATAGCAAAGGGTACTACCTATACCCATTATCTTACCACATTGGCTACCATACGAAATCATATGGTCTCATAATAACATTCAATTTTTTAGTATGAGATCATGCGGTCCCATTGGGATAGTGGTCTCATTACAGTGTTAACAGCTGCAAAACGTCGTATTATTCCACGAGAACGTATACATTTTTGTAAATAAAATTAGTTATTATATGAATATTCGTACAACAATTAATGTTATATATAGGAGACATAGTGTGCAAAAACCTATATTGTGCCGAGGTGTAGTATAGCGAGAATGTACTTGGCAGTAAACGTGGCTAGAGGTCCAGTTCTTTTCGTTTAGTTTTTATATTTTGTTTCACGACAATCGTCTATCGAGATGCATCCCTGAACATTTGACAGTATTCAACTATGGTTGTAATTACGATTCATTTTAGGACAAGATTAAAAGGGGTGGATGGAGCTGGGGGTGGAGTGGGACGGTACAAGGTGAAAATGGAAGGCAGTAGAGGACGGTGTAGGGAGACAACGATGGGTCAGGCGGGTAAGGTAGGGTAGGGTGAAAGTAGACCAAACATAAAATT